AGGGGGAGTGGCAGTGAGGATACTATTTTACGTGGTATGAAATAAACTTGAGCTGGGCGTCGTTCGTAACATACTTGACTTAATATCCACTTCCGGGGCCTGGACTCTCGTGACGACCACCACTTTTAATTTATCTTAGGCCTAAAATGGAACAAATGGAGCAAAGTGAATTTCACATTTTTAGTTGGGTTTTTTTATGTCGGGGGATGTATTTTAACCCTTTACTTTTCCCTTTATACCAATACCTGTCATATCTTTCTTTTCTCTTCTTTTTTTCTTGTTATTCTGAGTCCAGATCTATGATTTGGCGTGGGGAGGGGAAGTTGGTTGGAGCTGTAGTCTATGGTAGGCCAACTGTGCAGCTCCTTAAGCTGAGATTTTGTAGTTTCCTAGGGTTTGTTTAGTTTTAGTAGAGGTTTTACGATGCTCGCAACTGCATAAGGTCATATGAGCGCCAAAGGATGGATGTCAACAGAGAAGTCCTCACAGGGAATCATACTTACTCTGCTCACCTCTCTAGCTTCAACAGCACAAAGTCTGCTTTGACTATCAAGGCGCACCGGAAATATCGGGTCACAAGAGTGTGACTAACATACAAAAGAAGTAGAGGAAAATGACGATAGTAAGGATTAGGAAAGAAAAAGCAGCAGTTCCATGTTGTAGTTTAGGCACAGTAGTTGTGAGAATGGCATTGTTGGATCAGCCCATTTACAATTCTACTGTGCATTAGAACGAGAAATGTCCCCCCTTTGGGAATTGCCTAAAGACACTTCAGTCCGTGTCACCGCCCGGGGGTTTCTCAGGGTTACCTTGACTCAATCAATCCATTCGCTGCTAATGTCGGACGTTTGTAAGTTACTTGTCAAAAGTGCCAATGTGGTAGTAATTTGTTATGCTTCAAGAGAGCGGAAATAACAGGAAACCGGGAAATTGTGATGATGATGATGATGATGATGATGATGATGATGATGATGATGATGATGATGCGGCGGCTGCTGCTGCAGATAATGATCGTGATGATGATGTGTACTGTCTGTCCGATTTTGTATTGTTTTTTTTTCCTTCTTTTTTCCAGCCAAAAAGAGCAACAAACGAAAAAAAGACTCGAAAAGCGCTCCCAACAAGAGGACCGTGTCGTTCCCTCCGATGTTTGCCACCATCGTGGAGAAAGTGGAGGAAGAGGAGAAACAAGGGAAAGAACTGGAGACCCTCCCGCCCTCGCCCATGACTGACTTCTACTACGCCCTGACCCTCAAAGGACGCCAGACGTGGCCTACTTTCGTCGGAGACTGGGCCTTCGCTAACGGTGCGCAAGATTTGAACCATACCCGTCGCAGAAGTAAGATAAAGTTGAGCGTTTGGCGTGGCGTGAGGCAGCGACTTGAGAAGCCGTGTGGCGTAGCTGCAGCTGCTGCTGTCCTCGTGTGCAGTGTTGTTGCGATCATGTAGACTTAGAATAGATCTAGTACACTCCTCCTCCTCCTCCTCCTCCCCTAGCTCTGCTGCTGAAAACATTGCAGTTTCTTTGGGTCCTGATCCTTGTCCAAAAACCAGCAATCGACGCCCTTCCTCCAAGTTTTTATTTTTGCTCACTGTTGTGCATACATCTACAGACCAAAAAAACAAAACAACCCTATAAAGTTGTCTGGGGTCATAGTTGCAAAAACAGGGGTTGAAAATAGACAAGTATATATATATATTAATATCTTCTTAGGGGAATGAAAAAAACCTTTTTTAGATCGTCTAAAGTTCTCTAGGAACACACGCACAAAACCTGAATAATTGAAAATAGACAAGTTTAAAAAGTTGTCGTTAGAAAAGAGATGATTGTCTCAAGCAGTGCTGGCCAACCTGAGCGCTGTGATCTAAGAGTGGTGACTTTGATGGGCGCTGGGTAGTGGCAGGTACTGTCTAATATCCCACACTGAAAACCATAATAGTGGTGGGTGGTAGCTTCTAAAACGTGGCAAAAGTGGGCGCTAGTTCCAGAAAAGTCAACAACTACTAGTCTAAATAAATGATTAACAATTGCACAAAATGTACTTAAAACAAAGACTTTTACAAGATTGTCTGAATGGTAGTCACGTTTGCTAATGACTTTGAAAATCGGAGAGCCTGTTGGCCTACATTGATATCAATCCATTATATGGGTTGATTTTATTTTATTTTTCTGTAAACAGCTGCTTTCTAATTCATTTTCCCACTGTCTGGTAACTAAAAAGCAACGTTTGGTACTCGTTCATCATACATCGAGGACGTATTCAAAAACACGTGAAGATATTTATGATTTGGTGCACTTAATTAAGAAAGATAAGCTTAACGTCACTATTCATACAGATATAATGTCAACTCCGGTTTCAGTGCGAATGATGAACTACTCGAATTCGTGCTTCAAATTAGTGTAACAGTTTAAAATATGCCAGAACAACATTGCCTTTGTTCTGCTGATAGGACGTTTAGATCTAGGATGGTCATGTGAGGGGTGTAGATCTAGTAGTAAAAAATTACAATGGCAGCAAGTTGGAAAAAGTTATAACTGTTGTGGGAAGTGAAAGTAACTATCCATTGACGTAACGTATTTACTGTACGTACATTATGTACTCGTACTTGTATACTCCGTGAGGATGCACATTTTGGTATTTCTCCAACTCTTGAGGTCGCGTTTTTTTTTGTGAGCAGGGGAAAAGAAGCACAACAACTTCGTTATCCTTGCTCCTTGCATTTTTTAAAAAAAATTCTTTTTTCCTTTTCTAAACCTTCAAAAGACAGGCAACAATATTCAGACTATTAATACTATCAAAAAGATACAAATTCCTGTTTCTGACTTTGTGTATGATGGTTTGAAATGTGCCTAAACATTGCTGTTGGTCTGCTGCTAATCGGTCATAGACTATGACTATATTGTGTTCTCTGGGAACTTGACGAGCTAAGTTCACTTTCGAGTTTCTTCTGGCGGATGTCAGAATTGACCAGTGCTCATTTGTGTGCATTGTTCTGTCATACTTTAGAACGAACTCAAAACTGATATTAACAATAACACTTTTCCTGTTGGCTATTTGAAGTTTCATCTTAAACACTCTTATACTCTGTCCAGTTTTTCTTTCCGAAAGGTCTAGTTGAGGTCTCCATACCTAAACTGCTACTCACATCCTGGTTGTCTACTCTCGTTGGGAGCAACATGGACGTAGCCATGACGCCATGTGCAAAAATATAAAAACAACAACAACAGCAACTACAACAACAACAACAACAACAACAACAACAACAACAACAACAACAACAACAACAAAACAACAACAGTAACAAAGACAACAAAACAAAAAGATTTTAGATTATTTCCAAAGAAGGGATACCTCAAATAGACCTTAACTGCCGGTGGCAGATAGTATTCTAGTAAGATGCCCAGAATGGTAGGTGCATAATGATAATCCATTATATTACCATCTTTGATGTGGGGTCCGCTGCGCTTGCTCGATTGGCTTTTTTCTGACCTCAGTTGCTTTTAGTGCAGGATGTGTGTCTCGTAGCATTATCCAATATTATATAACTATCTTCTGTTGTAATAGCATTTTTCTGTTTTCTTTTAAAAGTATTTGCTGTGTTCTGGGTCTTTTAATCTGGATCTAAACAGCATCGTGTATCAATCACTACACAGAGGGAAATATAGTAATCAATCTAGCAGTAACGCACTGGGAATGTTATTGAGAAGTTGCGAGTTCGAATCACAACTTTGTTGTTAGATTTTGCGTTCGTTTCTTCGGAAACTATGAGAGGAACACTGAAAAAAAGGAAGGATTAGGACGAGAAAAGAGTAAACGTTCAAAATGAAAAAGAACAAAACATTTGATGAAAAGAAAGAAAACAGGGACAAAAAGATAGTGATAGAAAAAAAGAGCTGTGTTTGTGTAAATGAAAGAGAGAGAGAGAGCGAGGGAGAGAGAGAGAGAGAGAGAGAGAGAGAGAGAGAGAGAGAGAGAGAGAGAGACAAGAGAGATTCCTTATTTCCTCTTCACATTTTTCTCTGAAGATATCTGATATCTCGAAAATTCTGTCCTACATATTTATCTATTGAATCAGCAACGTTTTTTTCCGTTCATATCGTGCCAAACTTTTGCTGCGCGTTGCACTGCTAAAGCTCTTCTTTATCTTACATACAGCTTTCAGGGACTGCATTCAGAACCCAATAAGGTTTTTTTCTGAACATGTAAACTGGTGTAACTTAAATCTTTCTTGTTTCATATTTAGAGGGTTTTAACACATGATTCTTAGATTTTCTGATTTCTTTGTGCACTACGCTATCAAACGTCAGTGGCTAACTATCTCAAAACGAAAAACTTTTTTAAACTTTAAAAAGTCGGGTGAAGTATGAGTCTTAATCTCCTTTCAAAACACTGATGTTGTCAACGACACTGGATGTCCAGTATATCAGTTTATCTCCGATAGAGTAAAAACATGTTGGTAAAAGTATATTAGACTTCTTTAACAACAACAGAAACAGCCTATATTCAGGAACTTTCTTCTGGGGGGATCGAACCTGGCCAGCTAGCGTCACTGTCATGAAGTGTACCATTTACTATTTACTATGCTAATGCTGCCTATAATTACGTATATATGAAAATATAAGATAAACATACAATTAAAAAAAGATTTAAAAAAAAAAGAAAGATTTATCCCAGTTTCGGCAACGGGGCACCAAGCCTATGAGGAAGGTGTGCATGCGATGTCAGTGGTCGAAGGTAGTGCCCTATAGTCGTCGTATATATCCATTGTGACCTTTTGGGTTTTGGCAAACAATGTTACAGCAGTATGCATGATACAGCTTTACCTGGGAGGTAGACATAGAGAAAAGAGATTGCCTAAGACCCCCCCCCTCCCTTTTCCTTCCCCCTTTTTGATCTTGACTTCCTTGACGTCATTTTGTTTTTTCTGTGGTACGGAATTTTCAAATTTTGATTTTTATATATCCCTACCCCTTGAGCAAACATGCATGGCAGTCGTAGTTGTAGCCAATAGCGAGTTTCGATGTCGAATGACTTGACGGCACGACTTTCGACTTCCGACTTTTTCGCAAGGTCGCATTGAGTGCACACTCTCCAGCTGGATTACGGCCCCTGGTGGTACCGTAGTTAGTTGTAGCATTTATTCATCAAGATTAATTTCCCCTTCTCTCTACAGCAGCAGACGAGTCGAGACCGGCGCCAGAATCTCTGGCCAATGGGGACGCAACTCCGGGTCAAGGTCGAGCTGCAGCACGCAGAAGTCTGCGGAGGAGCGACCTTGCGGCACGGGCAGAAGCCAAAAAACAACAGAGGAAGGAAGAAGAAGAGCGAAAGAAAAAGGAGGGGGAGGAACAAAGGAAGAAAGAGGAGGAAATGGAGGAGGCTAGGAAAAAGGTTGAGGTGAGGGAGGAAGAGGAGAGGAAGAAGAGGGAAGAGGCCATGAAGCTGAGGAAGAAACAGAGGGAGGAGAGATTGTTGAGACAAGAGGAGGAGAGAAGGAAAAGAGAGGAGGAAGAGGAGGAGGAAAAGAAAAAGAAAGAAGAGGAAGAGAGGCGACGGAAAGAAGAGGAAGAAAAGAGGAAGAAAGAAGAAGAAGAGGGGAGACGGAAAGAAGAGGAGAAAAAGAGAAAGAGGGAAAAAGAAGAAGAAGAACGAAGGCTGAGAGAAGAGGCTGAAAAGAAGAGACTTGCTGATGAGAAGAGGAAAGAGGAAGAAAGAATACGCGAAGAATCAGAAAAGAAGAGAAAAGAGCAAGAACAAAAGAAAGAAGAAGAGAGAAGAAAAGAAGAGGCAAGGAAAAGGGAAGAGGAAAAGAAAAAAGACGAAATAAGAATAAGAGAAGAGAAGAGAAAGAAAGAGGAAGAGGAAGAGAAGAGGAAACGAGAACTAGCAGAAAAACAAAGGTTAGAGGAGGAGAAAAGAAAGCAGCTGGAAAAGAAAAAAGAAGAAGAAAAGAAGAAAGAGGAAGCAAAAAGAATTGAATTAGAGAGACAGAAGGAAAAGGCTATCAAAGAAGAAGAAGAAAGAAAACGAGCGGAGGCGAAACAGAAGTTGGAGCAAGAAAGACAGAAAGAAGCAGAGGAGCGGAGTAGAAAGGAAGAACTCCAGAAAAAACAGATAGCAAGAAAGAAAAAAGAGGAAGAAGAAGAACAGGCTAGAATTAGAAAGGAAGAAGAAGAGAAAAGAAAATTAGAATTGAAAAAGAAAGAGGAGGAACGAAAAAGGCAGGAGGAGAAAAAGAGAGTAGAGGAGACATCAACGATAAAGCAAAAATCACGTATTTTAGAAAACCAAGAAAATGGCCGAGATGTTTCTATAAATTCCCAAACATCGGCCACAA